TGCCTTATGAAAGGAATAAACTTATTTCTTTCCTAATCAAACCTCTACGGGCTTTGTACATGTTGGCTCCTCCATCTGTACCTGGACAAGGTTATTTCCCATGATTAATGGTCAGCACAATGCCATAAAATTACACTTAGACTGTATTTTATCTTTTTGTAAATTACAGCACTAATGATCCTATTTAACAACAAATGCATTCCCTAATGGAGAAGGCAATGGCAACCCACTCCAGTACTCTTGCCTGGAAAATCCCATGGACGGAGGAGGCTGGTAGGCTGCAGTCCATGGGGTCGCAAAGACCCAGACACGACTGAGCGACTTCACTTTCACTTTTCACTTTCATGCATTGGAGAAGGAAAGGGCAACCCACTCCAGTGTTCTTGCCTGGAGAATGCCAGGGACGGGGTTGCCTGGTGGGCTGCCATCTATGGGGTCGCATAGAGTTGCACAACTGAAGCGACTTAGCAGCAGCAGCAGCATTCCCTTAATTATACCATCTTTTGCCTACTAAATTTCATTGTTTGGATTGGACTTCAAATGGAGAAAAAGAAAGTAAAATCATGATCCAGTCTCTTCAGCAAATAAATTACAAGGAATCTCCACACTGTTCTCCATAGTGGCTATACTAGTTTGCATTCCCACCAACAGTGTAAGAGGGATCCCTTTTCTCCACACCCTCTCCAGCATTTATTGCTTGTAGACTTTTGGATAGCAGCCATCCTGACTGGCATGTAATGGTACCTCATTGTGGTTTTGATTTGCATTTCTCTGATAATGAGTGATGTTGAGCATCTTTTCATGTGTTTGTTAGCCATCTGTATGTCTTCTTTGGAGAAATGTCTGTTTAGTTCTTTGGCCCATTTTTTGATTGGGTCACTTATTTTTCTGGAATTGAGCTGCAGGAGTTGCTTGTATATTTTTGAGATTAATCCTTTGTCTGTTCATTTGCTATTATTTTCTCCCATTCTGAAGGCTGTCTTTTCACCTTGCTTATAGTTTCCTTTGTTGTGCAAAAGCTTTTAAGTTTCATTAGGTCCCATTTGTTTATTTTTGCTTTTATTTCCAATATTCTGGGAGGTGGGTCATAGAGGATCTTGCTGTGATTAAAAAACTGGAAATAGAACTGCCATATGACCCAGCAATCCCACTCCTGGGCATACACACCGAGGAAACCAGATCTGAAAGAGACACGTGTACCCCAATATTCATCGCAGCACTGTTTATAATTGCCAGGACATGGAAGCAACCTAGATGCCCATCAGCAGACAAATGGATAAGGAAGCTATGGTACATATACACAATGGAATATTACTCAGCCATTAAAAAGAATTCATTTGAATCAGTTCTAATGAGATGGATGCAACTGGAGCCCGTTATACAGGATGAAGCAAGCCAGAAAGATAAACACCACTACAGTATACTAATGCATATATATGGAATTTTAAAAGATGGTAATGATAACCCTATATGCAAAACAGAAAAAGAGACACAGATGTACAGAACAGACTTTTATACTTTGTGGGAGAAGGCGAGGGTGGGATGTTCAGAGAGAACAGCATTGAAACAAGTATACTATCAAGGGTGAAACAGATCACCAGCCCAGGTTGGATGCATGAGACAAGTGCTCAGGGCTGGTGCACTGGGAAGACCCAGAGGGATGGGGTGGGGAGAGAGGTGGGAGGGGGGATCGGGATGGGGAACACATGTAAATCCATGGCTGATTCATGTCAATGTATGGCAAAAACCACTACAATATTGTAAAGTAATTAGCCTCCAACTAATTAAATAAATAAATTACAAGGAATTTAAAAGAGAGAGAGGGAAAGGGAAACTACATATGAAAGGTGACCCGTGAAACTTATCAACCATGCAATGGGTGGACTTTATTTGGGTCTCATGTATTACAAATTCCTTATCTAGAATCTGTAAAACAATAATCATCAGTCAATAGCAGAACAGAATACTGACCAAAAACAGATATTTGATGATGTTAAGGGAATATTTATTTGGGTGGGGTGGGAGGGGGTGGCAGGGAAAGACAGTGAGGCCTAGCATGATGCAGTCAATGAGGTTGCAGAGAGTCAGACATGACTTAGTGACTGAATGACAAGAATATTTTCAGAGTTTCTTTCTTTTTTTTTTAACATATTTTACATACAATATTTACATATGAAAATTTGATCTCAGGGATTTGCCTCCGTATAAGCTGGGAGCAAAGAGGAGGACTGGACAGATATGCAGTTGAAACAAGATCAGCCCTGAGTTGATCACTGTTGTCACTGGTGGTGGGTCTATGAAGCTTTATGACACTATTCTACTTTTTAACACATCTGAAATTTTTGAAAGTAAGAAGCTTTAAAAAATAGTATGAGTTGATCTTAAAATACTCACACATCCATTACTTTCTCTCTCTAAACCTCATCTTTTGTAGGTGATAGTGATGCTATTTACCTCATTGTTTCTAAGAGTACATGCCAGAGCACACTGGAGAGTTTATCTTATGGCCTGCCACGCAGTAAACCTGCAAATGTAACTCAAGGAGGTGAGAAGCAGTTATAATCTCTGTGTGTATGCAAATCAAGAAATGAAAAAAATATATACTGTTATATTTAAAGGAGAAAAACCGTTAACGAGAAAAAAATAACCCACGCATCTCACATTGCATTCGCTGTTGGGTGTAAGAAGAAATACAACAATGCCTCAAATATCATATTTTGGCTTTACACTACCTTTTTCTGAGAAGATGCAACTATTTTGCAATGCTCAGCTCTGACAGAAGCAATGAAGGAAACAAGACTTGTCACCAGTTTCAAGATGAAGAACAAGACAGAGGTTAAGTTAAAGGGTCAGGGCAGCAGCATTCAACTGAAGAGACAAGAATCAAGCTTGTTCTCAGGTCTGTGCATCCCAACGCCTCTTCAAAAGGTAAGTATGAGTCCAAGCTACTCATAGCAAGGCTTTGAACACTCCCTAAAAGAATAATCACCACCATCTGAAACCTCAGAAAGTTAAGAAATTTAAGATCCTTCCAAACACCTAGCAATTATGTATTTTCATTCTTCCTCATTCTTTTGCCAATCAACTTCACAGAGATGATGAGTTTGGGAGCTGAGAGCACATGGCCAAGCTCATCAAGTAGAAGCAGGTGAGAGAGATTCAGGCTTGATTTCTCCTAGGTCACTCTACACCAGGTGCGTCACAGAGGGAATGGAGACTAGAGAGGGGAAGCGGGAGGAGAGGGGTGGAGGGAAGAAGGGCTAAGATGCAGAGAGGGGAAGCCTGGAGGCTGGAGGAGGGAGTCAGGCACAGAAACAGCCCAATCACATCACAGGCCCAGCTCCTGGGCGGAACCTAGAACCACAGAAACAGTGTTTTGGAAATTCTGCACCCAGGGTTTTTTCCTACTTTCATCAAGTAAACAGGAATAAAAGAGGAGTAACTCTGTCAGTCAAAGCCTGAAGGAATGTTTTAGAAAATCTCAAAATGTTTCTAACAAGACAAAACTGAGAGACAAGCTAATATTAATCTTATGTCAATGCCATTTGAAAATTACTGGCAAAGGGGAATGTATATTCCTCAAAAACTTTAGTTGAACAGGAATGAGCAAAAGCATAACCTCCTTTCTTCATTTTACACTCCATACAGTTCATTAAATATTTCAGAGACCATACATGACACAGACAATGTTACGAAGCCCTTGGTTAAATTACACTACCTGGAAACCAAGCTTTCTAAAACACTTCAATGTGTAAGCAGGTATTATCTCTAAGGAATCTTTCACATCTCTAAAGTCAGTGCTAAACAGTAACGTGGATCCTTTTTTCAGGCCTTTATCTTCCCTTTTTAGTGGTGTTGATTTGGGGAGGGGAAAGGGTCTTTGAACTCACTGACTCATTTCCTGCAACAGTGTATAAAGTAGATTTGAAACTGTATTCCCATCATTACTTCCACACCTCATAAATCTTGCCTTTCCTGTATAAACCAACACCTTTAAACTCTATGGACACAATTCACTGTTAGGAAATAGAAAGTATACTTTCTAGCAGGCAATGAATAACATATAAGCTAATTCAAAATTTTATGGCTATAAACACATTAAAAACAAACTTCACACAGATTTCCTTAAAAAAAGATTTTCTTTTTGCCAGAAAAGAAATAGTTTGTGTTTATAAAATAATATGTAGCTCATTGTTGCCTAAAACTGTCAACACTTATTTAAGTAAGTATTATTTTTTAAAGTGGGGTACAGTTGGATCATTATGTGTGATTTGTGGTATAATACTAATTTTAATTTCAAACTAAAATTTTTTCATGTAAAGGATGGTGTGGATTATGCTCAACTTTAAGATGAAAACATTTTTACACATAAACAAGTCTCAAAAAAGGTTGAGACTTCTGGATAACAGCCAAAACATCCATTTTAAGTTTTTCTTAAATACGGAAAACTTGCCATAAGAGAAATACAACAGGTAAGACAGAGAAAGAAAAAAATGTATGTGAAAACTGTTTTATTATTTCCCACCTCTGAAACGCTAATGGAAAGGTTTCTAAGTATTTAATTTTTCCTCAATATCATTTGATGTGAACAGGGTAAGAATAATTTACTGTTTACTGAAAATTTGAAAAATACAATGTATTGACCCTGAGATGCCAGTGAACTTCAGGTTTAGAGATTAATGTCTTTTTTGCATTATCAACACAAAACAACTCAAACAAATAACAGATCTGCTTTCAATGACATACTTTCATTTAACAATAAGTATGGTTCTATGGCCTTTTTGAGTTTTTCAAAACAAACCTTTTCATGCCTCATCTCATTTAATTTCCAGGGAAACCTCCAGAAGGTACGCAGCTTAGAAATTCATGAAGTTCTAAAGGTGAGAAAATAGGCTGATAGAGCAAAAGTGTACAAGGTCACACATCCCAAAGTTTGCCAGTTGCAAACACCCACCACTCTACCATTAAGTAATTCAAGTCATACCTCCACATGCATTTACCTGATTGGTCGATTCTCTTTACTGTCAAACAGTGAAAAGATGACCTCAAGCTCCTCTCCCAGGTTGGAACACATGAGACTCTTCATCTGCACAAAGAGGTGGTGACTGCTGGCCTGCACTGGGGTATCTTTCTTCCGATGTCGATGCTCCATCTGTATGACGTCCATCAAAAAACAAGATCAGCGTGGACCAAGGGAAACAATGGAACCCAACAAACTAGTTAGCTATGGTGTGATCATAATGTCCTGTGCTTTTTTTTTGGCTGTGAATTTGGTATCCAGTTGGATGTTAAACTCCAAGTTTTATTTCAACTTCTACTGAAGTCTGCAGACCATCAGGAATCCTGCTTTAAGAAGGTTTGTTTCTTAATTATTAATATTAAAATGATACCAACTCACAGGCAGCATGAAATGCAAAGGATTCTACCCTTGTCAACTCCCAGGGTAAGAACAAATTATGGGTCATCTTTTAAAACATCAGACTAAATTAAAAATCTAACTGGTCATTTCACTGATGGGAGCTAAACAATATAGCTATGATTTCACTTTTCTCATAATTAAAAGTTCTTTTAAATTATAGTAAAGGTTTGGTAGTTTTCCAAGGCAGGCAGTAGCAAATGATATTCAATCATTAGAAAAAGAAAATGTTTCTAATCTGATGTGGAGATAAAGGGAGGCAGACCTACAAAACCCAGTAAGTGTCTAAAGGCAGGAATAGTCTCTGTGTCCATCTCTAGTTTTCTCTTTTAATATAGCCAGCCTAGGCTACACATGAGAGGTGGGACCAGAAGTAAGAGTTCCCACATGCTAAGGAAGGAAAGGAATCACCCAGGGTTCCAGGGGTGAGGAGAACATGGAAATAATCATTTATTAACATATTTGTTATGTGTCTATAACATGCCCAGCACTGGGAATGCAATGATGGGTAAACACAGAAATAGCCTATGCCTTTGTGGAGCTTTTCTACTAGGGGGAACAGCTATCAACAAAACTGTCCCACAAGCAGATAGAAAATTGCAACTATGATGAATGGAGGATCTGACTTGTGTCTGAGCAGTCAGAGAAAGCATCTTGGGAAAGCAACACTTTAACTAAGAGCTAAAGGGTGAGAAGGAATTATGAACCATCTATATAGTGCTTCACAAATTACCTGCAGTCAAGGACCAGGCTGCCTTCCCCTCTAATCTACCACAGGTTGATCTTTTCATAAAATACAATCAAAATGTCATGGCAATGTCGAAACGTCATAAAGGCTTCTATACATTTACTCACCATTTTTCTACTTGGATCAGTTAGAAACAGTTCATGATTCAGCCAGTTCTTGAACCACACTGAGCAGAACTGGCCCAGGGTGAGGGCACAGGGAAAACATGCAGAAAGGCTGTGAACTAACAGGACAGGTGCTAAGACTGGATGATTACTGCTTTCATAACGGACTACTAAAGAGGGCGCGTCTTGTGATCACTGGACAATTGAGAGAAAGGAAGGAAGGAAGGGAGAAAGAAAGAAGGAAAGAAAAAACTTGGTGCTTAACTCCAAAGGAGTCATATCTTTGCTTGAAGTTAAGGTACAAAACTCTTTGTCTACCTCAGCCACCTTTTAATGTTTCTAAGTATAGTTCAAAAACTAATGACTGAAAAAACAACAACAACAACTAATGACTGACTAACCAAGATTTGAATGCAAAAAAAAATGCTATTTACATTTAGTTATAAATGCAACAACATAAAATCACCAGAATTTTTTCATGCTTTTATCATCTAATCTGAACCACTTGAAAAGTAAATAGCTAAAAAAAAAAAATGCAATTAACCGAATATATCTATAATTGTTGTATACGCAACAGGGACACTGAACACGCCTCTGTAAGAGTGAGGAGTAAGTGCATTTTCTTCTAAAGCGGACGTCAACGTTGTGGTATGTGTTGGCCATAATTACCAGAAAAGGCTTCCTGGAGAGAAAAAAAGCATAATTCTGTCTTTTTTCTATGATGGTTGCTCTATTTTGTACTTTAAAAACTCTTTAAAACAGGGCAAAGGAAGCATCATACATGCATAAAACTACATCTTTTTAGTTTCCCAAGTAGTTTTTTATTTTCTGAAATTGCTAATTTATTTACTGATTTACTTAAAAGTTCAGGGTAACAAAGCACAAACTTCTATGAAGAAATGAGTAACTACTAAAGGTTAGAGCTGGAAAAACAGATATAAGAACTAGGAGATGTCTGGTCTTCACTTCAAACCGTGCAAAGTTCCCAGCATCCATCATGACATTCACTAAACACTGAACGGAAGAATTAGCTCCCTTACTCATGCAGAGAATCCAATATATCTAGATCAGTGGTTCTCAACCTTGGCTGCACTTTAGAATCACCAAGAGAGCTTTTAAAAAATACTTATGTCCAGGTCCTATCCCAGAACAATTAAACTAGAATTTCCAGGGGGTGGGGGTCTAGAGAAGAGAAGTTTTAAAAGCTCCCCAGGTGATTCTAATGTGCAGTGAAGGCTGAGAATCACTGATTAAGATCACTCGAAAGAGATGCAAATCCTAGCGGGTTGAAAAACATATTGTTACATCTTTTGTATAATTACTGCCTTGAAATATTTGGTCTCTGAAATCACCTCTCTTCCCTCACCTATAATGTTTCCAAGCCTGAGATGGATTTGAACTTTAGGTTATGAGGACTTGTTTATCTTTTGGTAATTTGCTACTTTTGAGAACTGCTAAAAATATCTCTGTGAAGATATTATTACAATAGCAAAATGAAAACGGCAAGTTCATACTTCAAGAGCTATGATTTGATAGTTATAACACACAGACAAAAATCTACCTCTGAAATAGACAAATCTATCTCTGAAATAATTTACGGTTACAAAGGCACCTAGCAGTTATTCTAAATGCACTTACATTTTAACTAGACCTTTAACTGGGGAAAGAAAGAGATGTATTCCAAAGACTTATTAAAGTGATACAGATTTTTAATCCTCACCAATGCATCAGTTACTGGGTAAACTGTCTATATATACCAGGGTTCTCACCTTCAGCACTACTGATAATTGGGGCTGGTTCTTTCTGTGTTGTGAGAGCTTTGTGGGATGTTTCCCATTTTCTGGCATGTACCTGCCAGATGTCAGTAGCACCTCTCCTGACCCCCTAGCCCACACCATCCCCAACTGTGACAATCAAAACATGTCTACAGCCATGGCCAAATGTACCCTGTTCTATGTTCGAGAACCACTGGCCTACCCACTAAGGATCACACAGCAAGCTGCTAACATGATCTTATAAAAACCAAGAAAGTTTCCTATAAAGATCCTCCTTATGCACAAATTAACTTTCTATTTAGCGAAGGACTGAACTCTGGTCATTGGCAGTAAACCAAGTGGACATATGTTAACACTGTGAGGTTTAGCACATTTTACTGCTTAGATGAACACAATGAGGTGAGAAAGATCTGCTAACAGGGCTATCAAAAACTGAAAACAAGACTTTTTTTTTCCCTAATGATGCAATATGGAGTTAGTAAGATGCAAATACCTGTGTTTCAAATATGACATGGCAAAGACAACCCCCACCCCCAGCCACAAGGGATTTGGTGGTGGTGCCCGCCAACTCTCCTCGGTGAAGTCAGCACAGTCAGTTATGTTTACATTGCATAGAGAAAAGGGCCAGTGCTACAGACAACCTGATTACTGCTGTGCCAGGACATAAACAGGAACTTGAAGCTGCCTTAAAGAAAAAACATGTCCTTCTGACGTTTATAATCATTTGAGGTTTCCTGGAGTATTGTCTTTACTTTAGAAACAGTAAAATGCAAAGGAGGAGGAGAATCCCAATTTCATTTAAAATCACGTTTCTGACGAATGAAGACTGTGGACTAAGTTCTGAGCTATAAAATACAAAAAAATCCTTCTCATCTGGCAGTCATCACAGCCCAGATGAGACCCCAGAATCCTATCAACATAACACTCCCAGCAGCCACAACTAGCAAATTGGAAAGTCCAAAGAGACGAAATAAATTTCTCATCCTATAGATGACATTAAGTAAAAAGCAGATAGATAAAATTACATGCATACAAAATCAAACTTGGGAAAATAAAGCATATTTGTGTCAGATACTATTAGTTGCTTATCAAATATCTGACATCCCTAGCTAAATATGGGGATGTGACCATGCCCTAGCCAAAGAAATATAAGGGCAAGTATTGTGTGGAGTTTCCAAAAGGACTCATTAAAGTAGCTGAGTCAACTGAAAGAAATCATTCTCCTTCCTATTGTTGGAGAGCAATGTAATGGCTGGAGTTCTTGCAGCCATGTTGTACTGTGAAGCATCCTGGATAAAGGATCCTTTTTTTGCTTCTGACATCATGAATCCACAAACAAGCCCAAGACCTGCTGCCTGGGCTTGTGTACTGTCAAAGAGAAATAAATTTCTATCATGTCTAAGCTTCTATTATTTATTTCATTGAACGCAGTCAAATCTAATTTTAAGAAGTAGCATAGTGAAATTCACTCAGTCGTGTCTGACTCTTTGTGACCCCATGGCCTATACAGTCCATGGAATTCTCTTCTCCAGGGGATCTTTCCAATGCAGGGATCAAACCCAGTCTCCTGCATTGCAGGCTGGTTCTTTACTAGCTGAGCCACCAGGAAAGCCCAAGAATACTGGAGTGGGTAGTCTATCCCTTCTCCAGTGTATCTTCCCAACCCAGGAATCGAACCGGTGTCTCCTGCATTGCAGGCAGATTCTTTAACACCTGAGTTACCAGGGAAACCCCAAAGACATAGCATGTAAGGTAACAATTATTCTTGCCACCATGCCTCTCTAACAAGGATGAAATAAAGATGAGAAAAGAATGAAGACTGACTGAATGCTTAGGTGCTTTGCAAATGTTATCTGCCAAGGAAAGGCATTTCACATGAATGTCTTATTTAATCTCCCAAACAAACATGATAAGAATGATTTCTCCATTTAATAGATGAAGAAACTGAAGCTCTGAAACACTGAGCAATAAATCCAAGATCAAGAGAGCTGGTCGAAGGAAGAGATGAAATTCAAATCTAGTTTTCTTGATCTACAGCCATGGTCTTCTCATAATATCATAATGACTGCAAAACCATTAAGTAATTGCTTATTGAGTGCAAAGCACTGTACGAGATGACCTCAGACGTAACAAAGGGAGATAAGACATGGTGCTCACTCTGAAGAAACTTCAGATTGATTGAGAAATTAAAACAAAAGTGAGAGACAAAATTTGATGCCCAATAGTTAAATAAACTATAATAAAAATATCCCATTAGAGGATGTGTCTGACAAATTCTAATGATTTTGTTATATATACATAAGGTAAGAATTAGTGATGACTTTAAACTACTTGTAATCATCTCTGCCCTCCTCCCTCCAACCAATGTTTAACTGTGTTTTTGCTCTGGGCTTGACACTCCACTTAGCACTAACGTCAGAGAGGGGTGTGGCATGAAGCACCACTCTCAAGAAGCTCAATGTAAAGGAAATTCTTTACAGAAAAAGAATTTATTCCAATTGACATGATGAGCTTTAAATCATCTGAACAGACTGATGACAAAGGAAAAAAAAAACTGAATGCGGTATTAAAAATCACTTTCTCAAATCAGACATACGCATACTGGATTTTTTCCTCATGTTTTTCAGATAATCTCAGGTCAAGAATAACCTGCGATTCTATGAAGAAGGTTGGAAAGTTACCTCCAAATAGGCAGGATCTTCCAAAAAAGGAATCCAGTGTTGACCACAGTGATTCCTCCTTGGAACATTATGGAAAGATACAGCAGTAACTAGAGCAAAGCAAAATTACACCTGGGATGGTGACTGAATGTCTTTCCAGCCACATTTTTCTTTGATTTGAGGTTTCAAAAGAGCTTAGTGAATAACAGGGGCTTCCCTGGTGGCTCAGTTGGTAAAGAACCCATCTGCAATGAAGAAGACCCAGGTCTGATCCCTGGGTCAGGAAGACCTGTAGAGAGGGAATGGCAACCCATCCCAGTATTCTTACCTGGGAAATCCCATGGACGGAGGAGCCCTGGCAGACTACAGAGCCTGGGGTTGCAAGAGTGAAAGATGACAGCGACTGAAACATCATACTACCAGTGAATAACAAGAGATTAGGTAAACTTTATACAAATATTAAGAATATGAAGCAAAATACAAGACAGACGGATCATTCAGGGAACCTAGATACCAAGCAAATAACTAGACTGTAACCTATCATGTAACTAGGGAAAAAACTCAAGTCATGGGTGATGCCGTGGTGGGTGATATGACCAAGTATCTTATGATTATTAATAAGCTTCAGTACTTAGAAATAGTCTCGGAGAGATGGGGGCTAAGACCAGCATTTGGAGACCAAGGAGGAGACACTTTCAGGAGTCTGTGCATGTAGTGATAAGACAGGAGGGAACGGAGTTAACACGCTGATGAGCACTAACTGGAGACCATTAGTCATAACAATGTCTTGATACACAACAGATAAATATACAACTTGTAAGCATTTCACTAGTCCAGGCAAAGTAGAAAGATTTAGGAAAAGAATTTAAAATTTCTTTGGCTTTACTTCCTAGTGCCTGGGAGTTGAGGGCTCAGTAGGAATGTCAGGTAATTCTGAGACGGGTAAATTATCTTAGTTTTGTACTTGGGGCAGCGTCACCTCAGCTCTCAATTCTCTTTACTTGCTCCAAATTAAACCTGGAACATCCTGTTCTTACAAAACCAAGCAAGTATGAAAAGTGTCATGGAAACCACAAAATTAGCAGTGAGACTGTGAGCCAGAGGTTCCTATACCTACCAATCGGTAGAGCTCAGTAATGCTGATGTCCTCTGGATCCACCATTGCATACTCTTTCCTAGGTACCAGGTCCAGTCCCAGTTGTCTAGAAAACAAATTGCAAATGTTTGGAAGAACCGTCACCTCAGCAGAGTATATTTAAAATAATTATCTTAACTGTATCACTCTACAATTCAATACATCACCCATTGTGCTTCTCTAGCCCAAACTTTCTACCTTATAATAACCTTTTACTGTGCTCGGACTAGGTAAGTAGGCTGAACACTGGTTATAACTTGAGAAACAGAGATGATAAAGGCAAGGAAACAGGGATGGGGTGGGGGTGGGCCGACCCTCTTGGTGCAATGCTTTTGCCACTGGGGCCTTGGTTCTACAGAGTGGGGAGCCTTTAGCACGCAAACTATTACCACAGAAACCCTTCCTCATTGTGCTGGCCTGGAAACTAGACATAATTTTGTTCTAGAACATAAGAGTGGAGGAGAGGGAAGTCTGACCTTGAGGTTTTGACCTGGCATCAGGGGTTGGTTTTATGTTAACACAGTCACTGAACTGCTCTGGGACATCAGGAAGGAAGAATGAATTGATTCTCCCTCCAGTACCATCACAGAAACATCAAAAGACAGCACAGGGCTCTGTGGAGAAGGGAGAGGCTGCCACTGTTGCAACTCTGTTTGAGGCTTTCAGGCAAGAACACTTCTGACGGCCCTGATAGGGAATGAGACGACTATCTCCTCCTCCTCCCAAGTTTCCTCCACTTTAGTGTTTCCCTTTCAGTAAGAAAACTATATTTAAAGAAATACAGTAAATGCACAATCTGTAAACTGTAAGTCATTTTAAATAAGTTGTCAAACTCAAAGAAAGCAAAATCAGACCTCTGAAAATTCATGAATTTGAGGATGATCTAAATAAATTATATTGCTCATTTTCATACATCCATGTTTTACCAACTTACCATAAATTAGCCATAGAATTGCCCAAAGCATAAGCTGGAACTTACATGAGTCAAAACTGAGCCATGATTCAGTCATAATTAATGTTTTTCCCTCTTTTCCCTTCTTTATGTCATCATCTTCCTTCCTAAAACTGAAAAAGTATCATCTTCTTGCCTGCTCTGTATTTCTAAGATATTTTTGATAAGCTAACTTCATCCAACTTTCTTCCTATTTACAAACTAGTCTTTTAAAGGAGAACTGGCATGATGACTAAGGGCCAATATGATTCAGAGAACCAAGTTTTTTCAAAACAAAAAGGAAAAACATTCAAAAACATTCGAAACATGAAAGATGGGCAGCCTAGGTCATGGTCAAACAGTCTTCAGATCTACCCCTCAAAGGGCCACCCCATCACACACAGTGAGACTGGAGGCCCCCTGCACATGGCTGGCATATCCCATCTCTCAGGAAGCGCTCCTTGCTGTGAATCACATTGGTCTGGAGTGGATGGGGCCTTAGATCTCTTCTGGTCCAACTTACCCCTTCGACAAGTGACAAGCGAAGAAACTGAAGTCAAGGAGGGCTCAGGAATTTGCCTCACATCTTAAAAGAGGAGAGTTCCGAGTGCAGTGTCTTGCTGTATTCTACCCCTGCCCTTGATTTCCCATAAGGAATGAATCTCCCCGAGATAACTGAATTAGGGCTGCTCTCTTGACTGTCTATAAAAGGATGAACGGCACAGCTCACTCAGCGAAATAACAGAAGGACTCTGGACAAGATAGAGCTTTAAAATGTGTTACATACTTCACTCCTGTAGTATATGATGTCTTAGCAGGAATCAAAACTGCCTTCTGATAAAGTGATGTCCTATACTTAAAGGAAGCATTACTCTTGATTTCAAATTGGTTTTTCCAGATTCAGTAAGAGGAAAATTCATCTGTGGTTTCTTTTACTGCCTTCTCCTTTCCTGTCTGCTTTTCCTTTTTTCTGTTGCTCTAAGATGTTCTGATCCACACAGGATCACAATAAACTGTGTGAATCACAATAAACTACGGAAAATTCTGAAAGAGATGGGAATACCAGACCACCTGACCTGCCTCTTGAGAAAGGTCAGGAAGCAATAGTTAGAGCTGGACATGGAACAACAGACTGGTTCCAAATAGGAAAAGGAGTACGTCAAGGCTGTATATTGTCACCCTGCTTATTTAACTTATATGCAGAGTACATCATGAAAAACACTGGGCTGGAAGAAACACAAGCTGGAATCAAGATTGCCAGGAGAAATATCAATAACTTCAGATATGCAGATGATACCACCCTTATGGCAGAAAGTGAAGAACTAAAGAGCCTCTTGATGAAAGTGAAAGAGGAGAGTGAAAAAGTTGGCTTAAAGCTCAACATTCAGAAAACTAAGATCATGGCATCCGGTCCCATCACTTCATAGCAAATAGATGGGGAAATAGTGGAAACAGTGGCTGACTTTATTTTGGGGGGCTCCAAAATCACTACAGATGGTGACTGCAGCCATGAAATTAAAAGATGCTTACTCCTTGGAAGGAAAGTGATGACCAACCTAGACAGCATGTTAAAAAGCAAAGACATTACTTTGTCAATAAAGGTGCATCTAGTCAAGGCTACGGTTTTTCCAGTAGTCATGTACGGATGTGAGAGTTGGACTATAAAGAAAGCTGAGCGCCGAAGAATAGATGCTTTTAAACTGTGGTGTTGGAGAAGACTCTTGAGAGTCCCTTGGACTGCAAGATCAGTCCCAGGTGTTCATTGGAAGGACTGATGTTGAAGCTGAAACTCCAATACTTTGGCTACCTGATGCGAAGAGCTGATTCACTGGAAAAAAACCCTGATGCTGGGAAAGATTGAAGGCTGGAGGAGAAGGGGATGACAGAGGATGAAATGGCTGAATGGCATCACCGACTCAATGGACATGAGTTTGGTAAACTCCAGGAGTTGGTGATGGGCAGGGAGGCCTGGCATGCTGCAGTTCATGGGATCACAAACAGTCAAACATGACTGAGCAACTGAACTGAACAGAAGATGCTCTGAAGGTCCAAACAATGAATGGGGATTTGGGGAGAGAGGGAGGCCATGACCTTATAGGATACCGAGGGACCAGTTACCTTCCTTATGCTTGAGCCCACATAAGCCTAACATCATAGTCAAAGTTGGCTTATTCTAAGTTCTCACCTGTATATTAACATTCATACTTAGCACAGCATCAGCCTTGATCACTGCTTTAAGTGACTAGATTTACTATTTAAAGTACTTGGCTATTAGATTAGTCACTTATGTCTTATTCAAGAGCAAATCTTGGTCAAGATCAACTTTTTAGCAAGTTTTCCCAAGCAGCTCCTCAAAAGACACTAACATATATGCACAGGTAGAATCAGGGCAGTGATGAAAGCCACCCCTCAGCCTTTCCCCACCACTACCCAGGATCCCTGTCCCTAAGACTTTTAACAGAAGCCATCTCCCTCCGCATAACATCAACAATCTATGACCACAACAGAAGAGAGGAATGTATTTAGAAAGACATACACATGTCAAACCTAAAGCCTTTTTGAAACAAGATGTACTCTAAGTGTGGAGAAGAAAATGGCAATCCAGTCCCGTATTCTTGCCTGGAAAAGTCCATGGACAGGAAAGCCTGGTGGGCTTCAGTCCATGGGGTTGCAAAGAGTCAGAGGCAACTGAGCACACAGTAGTAGCAGTACTCTCCGTGGAAGTCATACCTGATTGACCCCAGTGAACATTTTGTATTTCGTGAGCACATGCACACTGTCAGACCACACAGGGCAGTAGAGAACTGAGAACATCCGGGACCCACACCAGCCCTAGAAGATGCCGTTCTCAGCTCCATCAGTGACAGTCTGCACCAAGCCCCCCCAAGGAGAAAACTGGAAAGTTTTCCAGAGCTACAAGCACACGGTGGCTCACACCACTGTTGCAGTCACACCCTCGTGTGCACCCACCAGAGCTCGTCCCCAGGGTGGCAGGTACTCACTCGTTGCCCCAGTCCAGGCGGGCGGTGATGTGGCGCTTCACGTCCTTCATCCGGTCATGGGTGAGGTGCCCCACCAACACCTGCCGCCGCAGATCCAGGATTTCATTCATGATGTGCCACAGTCGGTGGAAGAGATCACCTTCATTTCTCTAGGAAACACACGAATGTGGAGATCCAGTGGTCAGACTCTGAGACACAGGGTAACCACAGAGGAGCAGAGGGCGAGTCCCATTTACCCTCTATGTGCCGGGCACTCTGAAGACAGACTTTCCATTAACAAACTCTCTCCTCTGGTCCTGAAACGCACTCCCTTCTCTACATCCTTTCACCCTGTTTCAGGATGCTGCTCTCCTGCCCAAGAATCCAAATCCAACTTCACTTCTCAGGCTCCCCAAGACACACATCATGTCCCAGGATCCTGATGACGTCTCCACACCTGAGTTTGGCCCGATCTCTGACTCTACATTCTTGCTTCCCTTTCCACCTCAACTCCTCTCTTTCTTTAGCTCTATCCAATTCTACTGTCCTCCAAGGCCACAACTGACTTCCGCCTGCCTCAGGAAATCGTCCCTGAGGCATGTCCCAGCTCCTGCTCACATGCTTTTCTCCCTTCTCTGAAGTATGGCTGCATGCAATGAAAGCCAATTCAAAGGGAAATCTTATTTTTCAATTATTTCTTGTGTGTTGGTCTTAATGCTTTACTGTTTCCCATCAGAAGCTGGGTATATAGAGGACTCTAACGCTCGCTTATCGATAAATTTTCACTGCTAGCATCTGGCCAGTATTTAGACTTTAAAAAAATGTTTTCTTTCTTACTTATTAAATTTTCTTGTAAATTCAAGCTGATCTCTTGTGAAATTCATCAAGTGAGGAGGCTCAGTTGGAAAGAAGATTGGTTAAACTCCTGGCTTCAAATCTTGGTTTTGCCACTTAACTAGTTTTATAGGCTTTGAGTATGGCTTTTGCCATCTGTGAAACATGCACATGGAAGGTTATTAGATATAACATTTGTGAAGAGAGCCTGATAAGACAGTGATTAAGAGCACAGACTTGAAAGACAAACTATCTCACTCTGCATTCTAATTTTGCCCTTCACTGGCTAAAAAACCTGTGGCAATGTATCAACCTCATGGTGCTCGTTTTCCTATCTGCAGAGTGGCTATCATAGTACCTATCTCATAGGCTTGTTACGAAGATTGATGACTTCATATATTAAAATTCTGAGAACAATGTTTGACCCACAATAAATACCATGCAAGTATCAGGTGTTGCTAGTGCTGTTATCATTACAGTTTTGATCCAGAGTAAACCCTCTTATAAATACTGCATCTTTATCAAAACCTAAGTGTATGTCTCTTACCCACAGATATTTAGGGTAAGCCTTTGGTAAGTATTTCACCTTTCATTAACTCTTCATCTTTCTTAAGCAGAAGTTATGCTTTCATGTTCTATGAAAATTATTAATAGGCTATATGAATAATGGTATGAAAGTATTGAGATTATCATTTACCAAAAGTCGTCTACAGAGATAAGCTGCCAAAATACCAAATTCTGTGTGATGGATAAAGATAGTCATAAAATTCTTTAGGAAAAAAAAGGTAGAGATGGATCTTCTGCTTCATTGATGCTTGGTGACTGGAAGTGTTTTCTTGTACTGAGCAGGTTAGACAAATGTGCCACTTGAGCAAGAAACGTTCTCCATGACAACATCCCTGATAGTCTGAGATAGAAGTGATCTTGCTCTCAACTCCTATAACACTCTCCTGAGCCTGTTCTACGATCGCTCACGCTTTCCTCATGTTACCCACTCCCATAGAAGTCATCGTAAGAGCGCTGCAGTGCAATACTGCTGTAAGCCACTGGTCAATGCCTATGTTCTTCATCTGATGTGAGCTACAACCACAGTGGCTGAAACTGCCCTGTGTAGTCCCAGCAGCTGGAGAATGAAGGGAGAAACACCTTGATTTAAAGGAGCTTTAGGGAATCTTGAGAGGTGTGTTCTATTTAGATCATATAAGAGAATAAGCAGGGAAGATCAAGAAAAATTTGAGGAGAACGGACCTAGGGATTATCATACTAAGGGAAGGAAGCCAGACGAAGACAAGTATCATATGATATCAATCATACTTTGAATCTAAAAAAAATGATACAAATGAACTTATTTATAAAACAGAAAGACACAGACACAGAAAACAAACACTGTTATCAAAGGGGAAAGGGGGGGGGTGTAAATTAGGAGTTTGGGATTAGCAGACACATACTACTATATATAAAACAGATAAACAACAAGGGAACTGTATAGCATAGGGAACTATAGCTGTATAGTGCACAAACTATATTTAGTATCTTGTAATAATCTATAATGGAACATAATCTGAAAAATAATACACACACATACACATGAACTTCCCTGGTGGGGGGCTCAAACAGTAAAGAATCTGCCTGCAATGCGGGAGACCTGGGTTCCTTTACTGGGTCAGGAAGAACCCCTGGGGAAGGGGATGGCAACCCATTCCAGTATTCTCGCCTGGAGAATTCCATGGACAGAGGAGCTTGGTGGGCTATAGTCCAAGGGGTCACAAAGAGTTGGACATGACTGAGCGACTAACAGTTTCACTTTCATATATACACATACATACACACAGACACATACATATACATATTCACTTTCATATATACACATACATACACAGACACATACACATACATATATATATAACTGAATCTCTCTGTTCTTCATCTAAAACTAACACATTGTAAATCAACTATACTTCAATTAAAAATTAATTAAAAAATTAAAACTCAAAAAAACTTGAGGAACTCCACGGGCAGAAGGAAAAGTCCACTCAAGTAGTCAAAGAAATTATTTACCTAAGGAAGAGATAATACAAGCCAAATCTCATGCGGCAGGGAGACAGCCAACTCCTACTTAACATGACCACCAACATGTGAAAGGCACCTGTCTTGCTTTCGGGAAAGGTGTCCTGGTGTTGTCCAGAGGGATGGGCTTGATTTCCTAACAATGTCACCTCTAGCACTTAAGTTCAAGAGCACATTGAGCTGAGAAGAGGTTGGATTTACAAAAAGAAAAATCAGTTGGTCTGCTCTCCCTTTCAGAAAGGGGTGGCCAGAACAGTGACATACTGCAGCACCCTCCCCACTAATGCCCAAAAACAGTACATAACTGTTTTGATAGCTAGCCAGAAAACGATGCCTCTTTAAAAACTAGATTAAAAAAAAAAAAAGGATAGTTAAGAAGACTCTTCAAGAAACATGAAAAATGCTTTTAATTTAATGTCCAATGAAAGAGGCAGGGTAAATAAACACTTAAAATAGAAAAATACATAAACATTTTTACAATATATCAGAAAACTTCTGCAACATTTATCTGCAAAAAATGAACTGTAAGTATTTTAGCATTGTAGAGAATGAGCAAGTTTTGATTTGCCTCAAGATGGAAATAATATAAATTTTAGAGCAGCAGACAATGTACAGCAGGTTTTCCTACTTAGCATGTGACCCTAGATAGATTATCTCTGATAAGATTTGAGAATGAAAACTACCTGGTAAAGTCGCAGGGAAGAGAGCTGTGCAATACCCAGCCGAAGGCCTGCACAAAGGTACTTGGTAGAAGATGATCTGTATTTCACCTAAAGTTTTTGTTGTTACTGCTATTTTATTAAGTGATACTTTAAAGGACATTATTTAGACCATGACCAATGTACTGAAGAAAGCAAATAGCACTTCTTGAGCATCTACCATGTGTTTTTTTTTTTTTAATGCTAAATGTTCTACGTTATATTAAGATAAAGTATATCTCATATACTGGTTACCATTGACAACATATGAGTAGCTCATCAAACACCTTCCAGTGGAGAAGCTAGGCACCTTAAAGCTGTTAGAAAAGACCATAAGTACCCTGATACACTTATGCATGATGAACTTGAACAAAAACATTTAAACTAGGAAAAGAGAAATCAAAAGGTCCAACATATCCAAGTCAGCCAAATTCTCAGGGTTAAAAATCTAGTATCTCCAGGTTAAATTTTATATTTGTTCCTAAGAGAACTATTATTCCAGTATTCAAGGAAACTTTGAAATAATCATTTATCTCCATCACTCAGGATGGTAGGAGGTAAGGGAGTTACTCTTAGAGCTTACAACACGTAGATTTTCAAGCCAATCAAGTAGTCCCCAAAATAGATGCTCACAGCCTCAAAAGCAGGTAAAAATAGCTAGATAAGGCAGAATCAAGAGGAATTCAACTTTGATCCTCACTAGCAGCTACATAAAAGGGAAAGTGCTCATCACTTAGCTCAATTAATGGTTCACACTTACACCGTCATTATTTTTATGGTGGGTATTTAAGATGCAGTGATTTGCACAGTTCACATAGTTTTAATTTTCATCTTAATGTTGTGCAATATTAAGTGAAATAATACTTGGGTTTTATTCTTTCCAAGACAAATTTTTTAAATCTAAACAGGAGATCTGCATTTCCTTCGTACTCTTCCAGCCCAGAGCCCGAGTTCAGTTATCCTGACAGAGCATTTACTGCACCCCAGCAAAGCCTAGATGCCACGTTTCATCTAAGATCATCTTGTGGATTTTAGTAGTGAGCCCTAAAGCCACCAGCTCCAGGAGGGCATGGTCAGAGAAATCCAACATCAAATGGGTTTTTATTAGTGACTTTTAAAGATTTTCTTGCCTCAGTGAAATATCCTATTGCATTTTCTATGGAGCAGAGAATAAAAATGGTCATTCTTTGTCCATGTCCCTCACTAATTTGGATTATTTTCTTTGATAGGCTATTTCAAATCGTGTTGTCAGGATAAGTACACCTTTGCATTTTGAGCACATCCCTTCAAATGACTAAGCTGTTCACTAAATTCCTTTGAAAATCAAAGAAGAAATAAACTCATCTTTCCCAAAACATCACCCGCAATTCCCCACAGACAGTGCTTCAGTGAGGATGCTAGATTTACATGTGAATCCCAGCTTAGTCATAGCCATTTTTCAACTGCTTGGCCTCCAGTAAGTACTTCACTCTCAATTTTCTTCATTTGTAAGCTAGGGATGATCATAGTCTTTATTTCGGTTAGTAAGGCTTAAATGAGATACTACATATAGAGTAGTTCTTACAGGGTTTGCAACATAGAAGGTTCTCAGTAAGTATAATATGTAAATAGGTATGTGTTTGTGTACATGCTTCAGTTGTGTTCAACTGTTTGTGACCCTGGGAACTGTAGCCTGCCAGGCTCCTCTGTCCATGGCATTTCTTTAGGAAAGAATACTGGAGTGGACTGACCCTTCCTCCAGGGGATCTTTCTGACACAGGGATTGAACCTGCAACTTTTATGTCTCCTGCACTGGCAAGCAGGTTCTTTACCACTAGCATCACCTGGAAAGCCATATATACATATATACCCAAAACACTGGCTCCTTTTTTTCCCAAGAAGCATCCCTTTCTCTTGTAGTTCTAGAATCTTCTCATTGATTCTAAATAGACTATCATTTTTAGTATACCTGAGCAATGTACAGAGAATTAGAATATAATTGAATGTCATCATTATGAAAATTATATTGAAAAATAAGCTTATTTCTCTGTGACAATTAAAATTATTCAGAAAGCCTAAATCTAGGTTCCATGTACAGCATCCTATTTGATTAGATGCCAGGAAAGTAATTTTTTAACTTCGTGCAGGTTGAAAAAGACCTTACAAAATCCATGCTGGATGGACATAGGGATAAAAATCAGACTATTTTGTATTAAGCTCTCTATCCCCAATTCCCACAGGAGTAGTAGTGACTTACAGCAGGTGCTCAAATACTAGTTGACACTGACCCCTGTTCAGATATTTTTTGAAACAGTTCTCTACTGAAAAAACGATGCCATTAAAAAGTTACGTACCACATAAAGTTGTTTCCACATAGTTCCCCAGTCTCTTAATGTTGATGTCATTTCTGTGATCACAGAGTCTTCAGTGGGAATAACCATTTCAAATTGTCTGTGAAATTGAACAACAAGCATATATGCGAATGACATAGCCAATAATCTTCTTTTAAATATTCTAAAAGACCAACTAGGAAAGGAAGCTGCCTAGTTATTTTTGGTTCTGCAAACAGAAACCAGGATCTGAATACGAACTTGCGTGAGGAATGTGATGTGGGTTATGGCAGTACAACACCAGAATGACCAGCCGCTTCATCTAGATCAAAGTTTAAGCAGTGTGGTGAAGCAACAGTATCAGTAAGGTTGTGCGCCAGGCACAGTTTGACCTCTCAACAGCAACTCACTTAAATTCTCCAAGTCCAAAAGTCCTTGTATGTAACATGAGGTTACCAGGCTATCTAGACTGTGAGATGGCTCTTGCCTTCCAAGCGCTATGACCATTGGGCTCAAAGAGAATGAAAGCCTCATTCAATGATCAGGATATGATGGCTGCAAACATCCAAACTAACTCAGTATTATAAACAACTAGACACTGAGGTACTGACTGAATACTCACTTGATCTCATTGACACCTCATTTTCATTACTTGCAAACAGGACAATGAAAAATGATTACTATCAGTAATGTTGTCATGCATCACAGAACTTATAGAGGGTTTAAGACATTACAGGTATTTGAATATCCATTGCAGAATGCTCCTCTCCATGATTAGGGTAATATAGTCCTTCTATTTCTTTTCTATGTGTCAGAAACTATACTTGGAAAATATTCATACCAATATGATCAGAGTATCTATGGTGGTCCTGATGCTAAGCATATATATAAGGAGATGGAGAGAAAAAAAAACAGATTGAATTTGACTTCTGCATCCTATCTTTGACATACAATAACCTTTATTTTTTTCATCTCTCATTTCTTTTTTAAAATTCTTCATTTTTGTGCAGGTTAAAATGGGTAAGTGCCTTTAATACTACTTCCCAAAAGTATGCTAATTGACCATACTGAGGGGGATTATCTTCTTCATTTGAACATCTTTTTCTAAGGACAATATTCAGTGTTCAGTGGACACTGAACCATGTTATGCAGATGATCAACGGAAATTTTTATTTCTTATCATGAGGCTATTAACTGTTCTGTGTTCCTTCTTGATGTTAAGTCCAAAGTGTACATAACTGTCTTTTGTAAAGTTTTCTCGGCAAGTATGTGAATTAAAATCTTGCCTTGATTTCTTCACCAACAGAGCCTCATTTCATACTGCTGCTAAAATATCCTGAGAATATTTTACTTCTTTCTAGAGCTTAAACATAGCTGAAGATGTAAAACCAGAAATAAAAGTAAACAGTAATATATGAACTGTGACATATACAGAACCTTTTATCAAGTCTACATAATTGACATTTTCAAATGGTAGTGCATTTTATTTTGCTTTTCAAGCAGCTGTTGCAATTTAAATGATGAGTATTTGGAGACAGGCATTATAAAATGAGAGATGCAAAGTCTGGGCAGGAACAATGAATTCCCAAGAAAACTTAACAACCTACTTAGCATTTAAAAACTGACATGACCATAGCAAGAATTAAACAACAAAGAAGTGACCTCACCAGTCACAACTATAATTTAAGGACCCCCACCCCCCAACCCCATCAGTCTTGCATTGCTCTGAGACCCAGGAAAGAATTTAAAGGCAATTTAGTCTGTGGGAAGTTGGCCTGGGGTTTGCTCAACCAAAATGTACATTTTTAAGAAACACAAAATTGCCATTTTAGGTGAGGCAGCTGTTTCCTCTTAATTATACCAAAACCAACATTCAAACAGTCTGGCATAAGTAACTGCCCTTGAAATTATATTCTGTTGAGTTATTCTGAGATGTATATTGCAGTTATTTCATCCCGGTGGGCCATCAGCCTGCTAATCCCCTTAAAATAAGACAGGCAACATCAAAAGCCTAAAGAGACTGCTCTCTGGGAAAGCAATCATCTGGCAATACGTGTTCTGGAATGTTTTCAGGTTAAAGTTTTTCTTCCAGTTAACAGTCCTAGAACCTAAAGTCTCCATCAATTCTTTTTTTTTTAAGAAAATAAACTTTGGTTCTACCCTGAGGTTCTCTTGCTGTATAATGCTCATCATGCCCTGTGTTAGGTGTCGAACCCACACCAAGTCTTAAACTAACAGGACCAAATTTTGAGACAATTTTATCTATTGTTAAACTTCCTCAGACTCAAGGGAGTCAGATATTCACCAGTTACTGGCTAGGACAAACAAACAAGTTACTTGTTTCAATTAAAACTATGTCCCACCACAACGCATTTTCAGAGAGAGGACTTAAAGTACACAGAACGATGCTTGACATCATCTTTGCTAGCATGCTGTCTATTTTCTCTTTTTCGGTCTGCATGCAAGATGGGGGCAGGGTGGCTCTCTACTCTGGGGGGTTTTTAGGATCAGGGTTGGGTTTGGGGCAAAGGCAGCAAAGAGACTGGCTACAGGGGTTGGCCCAGGTGGATCCTTTAAGGGGCAGGGTAGAAAGATCCAGGTCACCAGGCCAGAAAGGTCAGAACAAAGAGTAAGTGTGTGTTTTCTGGACAGTCCCTTGGTTTACTTGAGGAGGGTTGGATAGACTCTGGTTGGAGAATTCCAAAAGGACTAACTCTGCTTGACTCATTTCTGGTGGGTTACAGCTGCACAACATTTCTGAAGAACACACATTGATTAAAAGAGTAATAGTAGTGGCAATTATTATTATTAGAAATATATTTTCAATCTAATGTTTTAAGTACTTACTATTGTTACTATCAAAAAAGGTCTTAATGACCGGGATAACCATGATGGTATGGTCACTCACCTAAAGCCAGACATCCTGGAATGTGAGGTCAAGTGGGCCTTAGGAAGTATTAATACAAGCAAAGCTAGTAGAGATGATAGAATTCCAGTTAAGCTATTTCAAATCCTAAAAGATGATGCCGTTAGAGTGCTGTACTTAATATGTTAGCAAATTTGGAAAACCCAGCAGTGGCCACAGGACTGGAAATGGTCAGTTTTCATTCGAAACCCAAAGAAGAGCAGTGGCAAAGAATGTTCAAACTACCAGATAATTGTGCTTATTTTATATGCTAGCAAGATTATACTCAAAATCCTTCAAGTTAGGCTTCAGTAGTATGTGCATTGAGAACTTCCAGATGTACAAAACGGGTTTAGAAAAGGCAGAGGAACCAAAGATCAAATTGTTAACATTCACTGGATCACAGAGAAAGCAAGGGAATTCCAGAAAAACATCTTCTGCCTCACTGACTACACTAAAGCCTTTGACTGTGTGGATCACAGCAAACTGTGGAAAACTCTTCAAGAGATGGGAATACCAGACGACCTTACCTGTCTCCTGAGAAACCTATATGCAAGTCAAGAAGCAACAGTTAGAACCCAACATAGAATAATGGACTGCTTCAAAACTGGGAAAAGAGTATGTCAAGGATGTATATTGTCACCCTGCTTGTTTAACTTACAGGCAAAGTACATCAAGTGAAATGCCAGGCTGGATGAGTCACAAGCTGGAATCCAGCCTGCCAGGAGAAATATCAACAACCTCAGATATGTAGATGATACCATTCTAATGGCAGAAAGTGAAGAGGAACTAAAGAGTTTCTTGATAAGAGTGAAAGAGGAGAGTGAAAATGCTGGCCTAAAACTCAACATTAAAAAAACTAAGATCATGATATCTGGTCCCATCACTTCATGGCAAACAGATGGGGAAAAACTGGAAACAGGGACAGATTATGTTTTGGGGGGCTCCAAAATCACTGCAGACAGTGACTGGACCCATTAAAAGAAATGTTTGATCCTTGGAAGGAAAGTTGTGACAAACTTAGACAGTGTATTAAAAAGCAGAGACATTACCTTGCCAACAGAAGTCAAAGCTGTGGTTTTTCCAGTAGTGATGTATGGTTGTGAGAGTTGGACCATAAAGAAGACTGAGCACTGAAGAACTGATGCTTTGGAACTGTGGTGCTGGAGAAGGCTCTTGAAAGTCCCTTGGACTACAAGGAGATCAGACCAGTCAATCTTAAGGGAAATCAACCCTGAATATTCATCGGAAGGACTGATGCTAAAGCTCAGCATCAGCTGAAGCTCCAATACTTTGGCTACCTGATGCCAAGAGATGACTCATGGGAAGAGACCCTAATTTTGGGAAAGACTGAAGACAAAAGGAGAAGGGGTTGGCAGAGGATGAGATGGTTGGATAGCATCACCCACTCAATGGACATGAATTTGAGCAAACTCTGGGAGATTGCGGGAGGCAGAGGAGCCTGGTGTGCTGCAGTTCATGGGGTTGCAGAGAGTCGAACAGGACTTAGCGACTGAACAATAACAATAACACACAAGGATATGTTTTTAAGCCCAATTAGGAAAATAATGACAGACTCAGCTACTAATGATCAGTAGTGAATCTAGGAAATTCCTGGGTTGAGATATGACTCAGCATTTGATGGCTATGATTGCTTGCTTCCCTACACAACAGGAAACCAAGAAGAACCAACTCCTCTTGCTTAAGATTAGGTAGATTCCATGATTTCCAATGAGAGACCTCCAGTGCCCTAGATTGTACTGGTGTCCAACATATAGATGTGGTTCTTTCATTTTCTCCACAAACTGCCTTAATGTCATCTGTCTTTTATCTAACAACACAAACAATGGCAAGAATCGGTTCATTTTTTCAAGACAATAAGTCTTTCAAACTCCAAAATAAGCAATGATTGTGTGAAAACTCTCCATCAATAAAATTTATTTCTTACCCTTTGTTCTTTACACAGGCATTTTTCAAGTGAACATAGCTGGAAGGAAATATACCCTGGAAGAGAAAACATGAAGGTTATGGTGCTAGCTGTCTATTACAGCAGAGTAAATTTCATAAGTCATATATATAAAATATCACCGCACAACCATAACAAAACCAGGAAGATGGAATCTCTAACACATTATTTAGGTGAAATCTAATGTAGCTTAGAACCAGTCATTTTATTTCTACCATTTATCAGTTTACAAATTTAGAGATACTTTAAAATAAATATAACTAAAACATTAAATCCCACTCAAAAATATATTCTACATATGACAGATTTTTTTTGTATTTTCAAGAATTCTATATAGAAAGCATGCTAAATAATTTTTTTTAATATTGCAGTTTTGAAAAAAGGGGTTTTAGTTTGCTTCTCTTGGTTGTAGTTCCTTTTCTTCTCTTCAAACTACTCATGTGTCTATTTGAAAATACATACTGAAAAATAGCACTACTACGAATTTAGAAACAGTATGTATATTACATGTTTAGGAACGATCCTTAATGAAAACATAGCAGCAAATCATCACCAGGCTGCCATTCTGATGGAACAAAAATTAAACAAAAGAAGACACGCTAGCTTAAAGCTCTTTATTGTAGGGAAAAGCTAGGGCAAGGAAATTGTTCCTTTGTTCTAAATAAGAAATTGAAAAAAAAATTTAAAAAGAGAGCAATTTTATTATCCATTAAATGACAATATTCTCTGAATGATTTTTTATGTACAATTAAATGGAAGATTCAATTAAATATTTAGGAAAAACAAATGTCATTTGAATACATTATCACCATTGTGGGTCCAAGGATAACATAAAATTTAACTAGCAAGCTCTGTATATACAACAGTAGTAAATAGGCATAGGTTTTAAAAAAAAAAAACAACCTTTTCCTTTGGAATTTAAATTTACCTCAATTTAGTAGGAATATAAAATAAGAGTAATTATTGGAATTAACAAGAAGTCAGAAATTGAAGTTCTTTAGAAGAGAAATAGAAGCAACAAATCTTAACACTTTTTAAAGCATGTTCTAAATGAAAAATATTGAAGTTACATATGCATGTGCCTGCAGATGACCAAAAATAACTTTATATGAGAGCTAAAGTATAGGCTCTCCTTTAGAAAAACCTAAAATAAATGAAATACAGTAATTAACACAGTTGGATGATCCAGGAAAAAAGGTATACTTAAACAGAAATGTAGGCAAAATAGATTAGATTACTTATATTTTGGAAATGAGAAATGATACACTTTCTTATCTACAATCCTAAGAAAACCAGAATTAAACCAAAAAATGAACATGACATGTAAGAAAATATTAGTGAATGTGGGTAGCATGGGTAAAGATGGGAAGATAGGAACAAAGTATAAAAATATAGAAGTAAGGATTAGTGTTAACATCATAAACTACACAAAGGAAAGGTAAAAGAAAAATCATATTACTTCCTACTATAATTCCTTATGATTTATAGAAATATATAAACAATAATGACTCTTAGTTTTTGTCTGGAATGGTAAGAAAGATGGACTCTTTATAATTTGATTTTCCCACATTTCAGCTCCTCACACCTAAAAGGACTCATAACATACCTAAAATAAACCACTCTCCACACCAACTTTTACAAATGATATCACAGAAAACAAAGATTAAATACCTCTATTCATTATTTCTTTTGGAATATATATTTCCACTGCCTGAATTTTAATTTAGCTCTCTGCAAAACTTACACTTCAAAAAGATTTTGTTTATATATCATAAGCTTATTAAGGTCTTCTCAGTATAAATTTCAAGAGTGACACAGGATTATCATCTGAATAGCATGTCTTAAGTATAATCCAAGTTCAAAGGAATTTCAAAAATTATGAAAATCTGTATTGCCATTTAGTATTTCAACTAAGAGTCCCAACTGTAATTTCAATTGTATAATAAAATAAAGTAAATTAACTGTCTTTCTTTAAAATCCCATAATTATAGTAAAAGTGATTCTTTTTACCTTGATATTCGGGTTTTTTAAGGCAAAGCCTCTGTACCAGCCTGTGGAGAAATAATCATGGTCATGTTTCAATAAATCATTACAATACTTAGAAGAAATGATTAGAAATCAATCTATCCTTTGCTGACAGAATTTTACCTTACATGTAAATATTCTAGGTATAAACATGTGGGAGTTGGAATTAGGCTAGACTATAAAAGTCAAGTGACTACAAGTTTAAGTCTTCTATCAATAAAATCATTTAAAAATTGGACTGGAAATGTACATAAAAAATACAAACATGCATAATGGAAGTAAAGGCTTGGGGATCAGAGTACTGGGCTTTAAATTCTAGTTTTACTATCAATAAGTACTAGCTGTTGAATCTTGGGCAAGTTAAGTGACCTCTCTGAGCTTAGTTTCACTCCATTTTATAAAATGTCACGCTATATCTCAAAGAAATTCACGCCTCTATGCAAGATTTAATACAGTTCCAAACTGTCTTTGCCTGAATACAAAGCCCTGACTCTACCACCAAAGAGCAGTGCTTAGCCAGCAATTCTGTGCTGAACTCACACATTCTTTAGCCTACCATCTTGTGTGAGGATCAGTCTGATAGCGTAAGAAGAAAGAAGCCAGGTCTCATCCACTTAGAGCATTAACGGCACTCTTTCATCCACACCATGTCCCATCAACTGAGCTCACCATAATTTTTATTCTGCAGAATGTCTATTACTTAACCTCCAAAGTGACTCAATCAGTTTTACAGCACTGTCCTTAAGGGGGAACATAACTTTTTATAGTTTAAAACAATTACAGAGTGTGTGTATATATATATATATATATATGAATTTATATGCTAATATACATGTGCTGTGTGTGTGCTCAGTTGGTTGGTTGTCTCCAACTCTTTGTGACCCCATGGACTGTAGCCCTCCAGACTCCTCTGTCCATGGCATTTTCCAAGAAAGAAAACTTGAGTGGGTTACCATTTCCTACTTCAGGAAGCTAATATACAGCCTCCTATAAATGTATTATTTTCAACTTATTGTTTCTTCAACTATAGAAACCATTTTGCTTATTGGAAGAAATTATTTTATCATAAAACCAATGTTCTATTGAATTGAATCTTTTTGATTAATTGAACTTTTAGAAAAAGTATTTGAGTTTTGTATTAAAATATTTTTGTTCCTCACGAGTTTTCTTAAAAAAATATTTTGTAAAACATCATTTTACAATCAGCCTGGAAAAAGTAGAATGAATTGAAAATTGCAATCTCTATAACGTCAGGATTTATTAGATTCCTTAAAGACATCCATCCAAGAAATATATCCATTCTTAAATAATTATTTTAACAGTAACCAAAACTTCATGAGAAATGCAGAAATGTCACAGTGAGGTCTCTGTCCAACTACACCACACAGAAAGGTTTTTATATTACAAAACAGCCCCCATTAGCTGGGAAGTACATTTTCACCCATTCATAACAGATTTTATATTTATCTGTAAACGAAGTGGAAACAGACAAAATAAATCTGGCAATGACAGAGAAAAACCTTATATTTTTAAATATATCAGTGACACTGTACAAAATAAATGTCCGTGTATCACCACCATTTAATGACAGGCTCTAAATAAAAGTAATAGTTCTATTTGGAAGAACACGATTTTATCAATAATGAACCTTAATATGATAGTCTTATCATATTATAAATCCCTAGTAAGGACAATGTATTGAGAGGAAAACCATATATTTGGATATGCTGATGGAACTTTACAATATGGCCATTTTGTTAAGGGAAAAAAAAAGAGTAGTCATTTTATCTGGGATCTTTTTAAGGACAAGAGTTTAAGGATGTTTTGTTACAAGGAACAGAAGGATTTGAGAAAATACTAAGCTGATTTAATGAGGTGCCTCTTATATAAATTAATCATACAAGTTCACTTAACATTTCAAATGGAGTAAATAATTTCAGTCCAAATTTGGGGGAGTTGAGGAGGAAGAGGTTACAGGACTAGAGCAGAGTTGGTCAGGGCAGGAGTCCCACCTCAAGGAATCTGGTTACCCAACCTTGGTTAAAGCATTTCTGCTCTGGACCTCTGTTTCTTTCTGTCCTGGGGAGCCCACCAGACTCTTGACATTCCAAGAAAGGCCTTCAAGTTTGGCCCTGAGTCATGAACTCTCAGAAATTCAACAGTCTCAATAGTATCTAGCAAATATAAATAAATAATATTAGGAAAAAATATAATCAGCTTAAAAATACCAAACAATATTTTCTCATAAGCCAAAAATTGAACATGCAAGAAAATAGTTTGTAAAAAATGATTCATTGCGACTAAGGGGAAAATCCCAGAGATTAATAGAAGTATGAAAAGCATTTGTACACTTTATGAGCTGCCCAATGCTGAGGAGATCGTTTACCCAACTGCAAACAATCAATACTAGTCTACTTACCATCGCACTTCTCCAGGATCTGAACTGTATCTCCAATTTCCAATGACAGACCATATGGCACAGTTCCTCGAAAACTGGCAATAACTGTAAGAAATGACACAGAATATATGGGGATAATCATGTCAGTTATGGCCAGTTATACTGTTTACTACTGCATGTTACTGACCAGGAAAAATGAACGTGAGCAGGAAATACGCACTGATAGCTAGAACTGGCTGTCATATTTTAACGTGACACGTTTCGGAAGAAAACCAAAGTTTACATACTTTGCTAACCTCTTGGTCAAACAAGTGTTATTAATACAAATTTCAAAGGTGTGATAGTTACTAAGATAGTAGACAAAATATCAACATCACCTGATAACATACGTAAGCAAAGATACTGCCTGAAGAGCTGCACAAGGAGTGTCCCTCTCCCTCACTGCTACAATCACTCCCCATTCAGAAGCCCATCTCATAAGTGACTCAATAAATATGTGTTCAATAATAAATGAGGACTATATGTCTACTCATTAATAAGCTTGGTTGACCTTTCTGCCAAGCTGTCTTCAGGATGTTTCCTTTCCATACACCGTAAGGTCCTCAAGAGAAGGGACTGTGTCCTCATATTGTGTCCTCAGGGTCTAGCCCAGTGCATGGTGTTAAAGCAGTCTTCTCTGCATTAATCAATGGTGATGATTACTTCTCTTGCTTGGGTCTAAACACATGGCCAAAATGACAATTCCCACATGCCTTAGCTCTCAGAAAATTTGGAAGTGGGGGAAAAGGGAGATTGGAGTCACTGTTTAGCCTTACCTAATGTTTACAGACTGACTGGTTTCTGAAACATGGTGCGGGGCTGGGCAGGACTAGGATATAACACCAGAGATTAACCATCCCTAGGCAATTTGAGGGGTTAGGCGAGAATGAAGGACAGAGATTATTCCCAGGAAATTAACACCTGAGTCATGAGAGACAAGGCTAGAAAATAAAGAAAAGGACCTCAACATGCAGAGAGAGAAGACACATTTCCTGTTAAATATTTCACATGCTAAAATCTTCTTGCAATTCACATCCAAAAAATGATAGTAAATGCTTTGACCGCCTGATTTTTAAGAGCCTCCAACTTTGGAAGTGAATTTTACAATTCTCTCTCTTTCAGATCTTAAGATTTAGAAACAACCAATCCCCCAAATAAATTATTGTTACTGCTGTGAATGTATTTTAAAAGCCTGAAGGAACACATGAATCTCTCAAAAATCAAAACATGCCAATAAGTAATGGGCTTTCAGAGAAGTCTAAAGCCATTTTATGATCTTAAAACAAAATTAGCAGTAGCAATCAAAGCACAGGACAGAAAACATAGCCCAAAGTACATGAGACAGATAAAAATAACTACACAGTAACCAAGTTAAAACATTTTAGATAAGCACTAATCCATGATGTCATTTTCCAACTATACCCATAAATACCCTATGACCTCATGTTGATGGCCTCAACAGTGTTTGCTTAAAAAATAATCAAAGGTCTGTATCTTGACAGATTACTTCAAATAACTTTCAGAGACCTCTTCTTAAAAGGAATCAACAACCAAATAGACAGCAGATTGAGTACAATTTAAGACTCCAAAGCAAACTCACCCTCAGAATTGCCTTTTTACACTCATGAAGTTACCTTAACCTCTCACAATCCTAGTGGTTCAACCCTGCACTACTGATGCTTCTCTTAGAGGTCTAAGGGTGTGGGTGCCCTAACTCAGTTCTGTGTATAGCTCTTACCACTCACGAATGCCCATGTTAACTCCCAGGCAGCCAGAAATACCTCCCCTACTGCTGGGGGCTCTCTCCTACCCCATCACCTTCTTGAACATGGCAGTACCATTCATTAGTTTCATTCTTCACCACCCCTTCACACCTCAGCCCTTCACTTCACTGTGTTCTGAAATTGCTCTCTCCCCCACTGTCACTACATTCATATTACCTTTCAGGAGGCCATCTTCTCTTCTACTACTTCTCTCATACCTTCCAGCCTTCTGCTGTAGTTCTACTTTCTTAGCCCTCTTTTTAAAAATGTATTTATTTTTAACTGGAGGATAATTGCTTTACAATATTGTGTGGGTTTCTGCCATACATCAACATGAATCAGCCATAGGTATATAAATGCCCCCTCCCTCTTGAACCTTCCTCCTACCTTCCTCCCCATCCCTTCCCTCTATGCTGTCACACAGCACCAGGTTTGAGCTCCCTGCATCATACAGCAAGTTTTCACTATTTATTTTACCTAAGATAATGTATATTTTCCATGTTACTCTCTCAATTCGTCCCACCCTGTCCTTCCCCTACAGCGTCCACAAGTCTGTTCTCTGTCTGCATCTCCACTGCAGTCCTACCGATAGGTTCATTAACACCACCTTTCTACACAGTGGAAACAGTGGCAGACTTTATTTTGGGGCTCCAAAATCACTGCAGATGGTGATTGCAGCCAGGAAATTAAAAGACACTTACTCCTTGGAAGGAAAGTTATGACCAACCTAGACAGCATATTAGAAAGCAGAGACATTACTTTGTCAACAAAGGTCTGTCTAGTCAAGGCTATGGTTTTTCCAGTGGTCATGTATGGATGTGAGAGTTGGACTGTGAAGAAAGCTAAGCACCAAAAAATTGATGCTTTTGAACTGTGGTGTTGGAGAAGACTCTTGAGAGTCCCTTGGACTGCAAGGAGATCCAACCAGTCTATCCTAAAGGAGATCAGTCCTGGCTGTTCATTGGAAGGACTGATGCTGAAGTTGAAACTCCAACACTTTGGCCACCTGATGTGAAGAGTTGACTCAATGGAAAAGACTCTGATGCTGGGATGGATTGGGGGCAGGAGGAGAAGGGGACGACTGAGGATGAGATGGCTGGATGGCATCACCGACTTGATGGACATGAGTTTGAGTAAACTCCAGGAGTTGGTGATGGACAGGGAGGCCTGGCATGCTGGGATTCATGAGGTCACAAAGAGTCAGACACAACTGAGCGACTGAACTGAACTGAACTGATACTTCATATATATGCATAAATATCCAAGTTAGCTTTCTTCTTAAATGTTGACATCAAACAGGCTGGGTGTAGGGATTTCTCTGGCTGTGCAGTGGTTAAGACTTCAAGCTTGAATTGTAGGGAACATGAGTTGGAGAACTAAGACCCCACATGCTGAGTGGCCAAAAACAACAGACAAACAAAAAGGCTGGGTGTAGGAAAAGAACATCACACTTGGTATCATGAGATGTGGGTTTGAGCCCAGATCTTATTAGCTGTGTGATTCGGTCCAAGATACCAATCTCTCAGAGTCTCCATTACCTCATCAGGAAAATGGGGTCAATGATAAAGAAACTGCAAAAGGTAGTAAAGGATTAAATAAGGCTCCTCAGAGCAGACTTTCTTGATACACATCCTCGCACCTTAATTCCATATTCTCATAGCACCATATACCACTTAACCAGCCTCCCTTATTTGTGCAAGTTTTGGAAGGATGTCTCCTGCAAGAGACTGAAAATTCCATGGATATAAGGACTAGGTTGGTTTCAGCTCCCAGTTGTCTACATAATTCAGTATAAAGCCTGGCACACAAATTGAGCTCAGTAAATAATCACTGAGGGAATGAATAAGGGCAGGGCCATTACTGTTAAGTGTTCTGGTCTTAGGCAGTCAAGTTCCTTTTTTATGGGCAATTCTATTTTAAGAGGGCACACAAAATTCTAAGAACCAAACTATATTACCTGTGAAAACTCATTCTTTCACAGGAAATGCTTAAAATTGGGATAACAGGTTGTCTGGGTCATAACTGTGCATCATCTCATTTCTTGCCCAAGGAACCTATGTGGGTGAATTCTGACTTCACTCTTCACCTATATAATATCTGATAACTATTAAAGGTGAGCTATCATGTTCTTCAGTCTCACTGAGCTTCAGATGCCTCTTCTATAAAACAAAGGAGTTGAACAAGGTGAACTGAAAGGTCCCTGCCAGCCTGCAATTCTGAGAATCTGGAAGAAGTCTTTCAGCTCAGCACTGACAGGGTATAATATATAACTGAAGCACTCTGTCCCCAAACCAGCCTTGCTTCGGTTTTAGTCACTGCCTGAGTTCTGAAAGAATGGACATTGGTCCCCACTGTCTGATAAAGCAGAAGGGAGGGTCTGCTCTCAGCATCTTCTACCAAGTCCTTTACCTCTGTGCTCCCGTTCCTTTCCAGGCTCCCATCCCACCTGCCTCTCCACACAATGCCCTCCATGCTACCATATCCAAATTCTCATCAAGCTCTTTCATGCAGAACTCATTGCCTTCATACGTATTATCCCCCTTGGGGGCAGTTGCCTTCCCCACCCCTTCTAGACAGCGAACTACAAAGTAGCCTGAGTTGCAGGTCTAGCTCCAAGGTAAACCCTTTCAATTTCCTGATGCTACCCTTTCTCTTTCCCCATCCTTGGACCCAAATGAAATCAATTATTCTCTTATCTGTGCTCCAAGGGTACTATGATCATATCTTAAACAGCGCAAGGTATTGCATACACTTGACTTATCTTTGTCTCTCTACTTGAAAACTTGAATTGTTTCGAATTCATCTTCCATACACCAGCATTGGATTATGTTAGTGCAGGAACAGAGAATGAATAAACACACGGAATGAATGAATGAAGCCACTGAAAAATGGTACTCAAGTTTTAACAGAGTCAGAGAATGTCAAGGGCACCTCTCATAACTTAAAATGTCTAAAATATATTAAACCACAGATCATATTGGAGAGTAACACTTTTTTAAGATATAGTTCAAGGCAGGACTTTGATCTTCACCTTCTAAAATGGCTAGCCATTTTCAGTCTTTGAATTACACAAGTAATTCTACCTTGCAATGTACTAAGCTCATGAATGGATGGATAAATGCTATTCTCTTTATGCTTCAGGTTATGCAATTGAAAGGGGAAGGCAGTTCTAGGCCAAAGATCTGAAAACATGATTGGCTCGTGTTTACTAATGGTAGCATATAGTGTATCATAAAGGAAGGAAAACTGGTTTCACAAAGCAAAGATTCAAAGAAACCTCAGGCATTCATGAAATCTCAATCT